AGAATTTTTGGAAGGAAACAATTATTTAACAATTAGTTTTATGTTTCATATGATTACTATATTAATTAATGATTTTAGATCAAATACAAATATAGTTGAAACTATTGATTTTACAACAAACGCAATTGTATTTGATAATGATATTAATTATAAAGATGCAAGTGAGGAAATCAATGAAACTATTATTACTGGATCTTATAAAATTTCTATTAATATATTTTAAAATTGTGAAAGGCTTATAGATTGAATTAAAAATATATTATATACTAGTTTACTTTACTGTTATTCTATTCTTTCAAAAATCAGTTTATTAGTAGCATTATTAGATCCTCATTGCAAATCCCTTAATTTTGCTTCAAATTCTGAAAAAATAGAAACAATTGATATGTTAAAAAATTTAATTACAAACTCATATTTAGATTTAAATAATGATTCTCAACAATTATTCAAAAAAGATAGCTCACTTATTACAAGAATATTTCAATTACATCATATATAAACCAATGAAGTAACTGATTATCTCACTCAACCAGAAATTTCTTCAACTTCCGATCCTTTTCTTTGGTGGGTTAATAATTAAAAAAGATTTTTGATTATTTCAAAACTTGCCTGTAAATACCTTTCAGTATCTGCTACATTGGCTTCTAGTGAACATCTATTTTCAAATGCAGGAAATATATTAACAATGAGACGTACAAATCTTAAACCACAAGTATTTGAACAAATTCTTTTTTAAAAAAAAAATAATAACTTAGTTAATAATATTTTTTCTGAATTGTAATTTGTAATCAAATAAATAAATTTTTTGCAAATCTCGAATAAATAATCAAATTAATCGGATAATCCAATAATTTATTCGAATAAATAATTATTTGCAGATCTTTATTTAATCAAATAATCGAATAAACGAATCCAACCCCTACGCTCAAGACTTGCATCCATTTACAGCGGGACTTATCAGACAACATCTTTTAGAAAAAGAAGGTTGGATACCAACTCCCTTAGTTGATTACTTGCTAAGCAAAGGATGGCTTATAAGCACAACTCCAAGAGAGATCATATACAGTGTAGGCAAAAAGTCCCGCATTGAGTTTCCACCAGATCGTGATTTAGCTGTCCGCTTTGTAGGTTCTTGTGCTCGCAATGCACAAGTAACATCTATTTTAGTTCGGGATATAAATGAAGCGGATATGTTAGTCAACTGGCTAGCAAAAAATAAACGCCGACAAACTGGACCCGAACAGAGCAAGGAACTTTAATCAAGTATGAAGGTGATGAAAAGCGTGGGCAGTGGTTACATATCTGTTCTTTCGTCCTTGCCTATACCCATATTGCTGTACTCGAACAGTTAAAACGTTTTCCAGTTGAAAATGTATTGCGAGTATGCACAGATGCCATTTACACCACAGCAATTCCCGAAACTATTTTAGATGAAACTGTAGTTGAAATTGGGCAAGAATTGCTCCCCGATTTTGATAAAAGTCTCTTTGCTAAAGCAAAAAATAGTGCAGAGTTAGAAGAAGTGCATGCGAAATATGAGGCTGAACTAGATAAAAAAAGAAAGCAGTATGAATCTGTTATTGTCCTAGAAACACCAGAAATTAAGTACGGTCAATGGCGCAAGAAAAAGGAGGGATATACTTATCGTAAAGAAGCATCGTCCTGGGCCATTAATCATAAAGGTACACTGGAATTCCCTCCAAGCGACGCACCCCCTCTTTCTATTGATTCGAAACTAATAACATTGCAAAAAGTTTATCTAGTTGGCCAAGGAGGTAGTGGAAAAACAACACGAGCCATTCGTGCATTTCCTGGTCGAAAGGTTGTAGTTCTCACACCGGCAAACTTACTTGCAGAGTATCATAGAAAGCAGAATCCGGGTTTAGTAGCTATGACCTATCACAAGTATTTCCATCTTGGAGCAACTCCAATTGACGAGTGGGATCCTGCATGTCTTGGAAAAAAAGCTCTAGCTGAAATACTTATCTTTGATGAGGCATGTATGATTCCAAAGAAGGTATTGCAAAGATTATTATTCTATGCCGAAAGTCGTGGGTGTCAGAATATTATGTGTGGTGATCCAGGCCAACTTACACCATGGGGTGATAAGGAAGGTCCACATAAATTCCTTACTGAATGGGCGGATGAAGTAATCTGGTGCATGGACGATTATCGTGCTTATGATCCTGAACTCAAGGCATTAAAATTGCGCATGTGGATGAAAGATGATATAACTCAATTGCAAGAATTCCGTGGGGCTATATCTACAACGTCATGGAAGAATGCACTTACTGAGTGGACTCCGGAAGATATTTGGATTTGCTCTACAAATGATATGGGTATGCGAGTTGAAAGTGCATTAATACAGGCTCATAAGTTACGCTTCCTTAATGTACCCTCAATTATCCGCTTCGACCTAGATGATAGTATCAAGCGTATGTATCGTATTCAAGGAAAACCTGTGCAGATTCCAAGCAGTAATGAAATTATCGAAGCATATGTTGGTACGATGGTAAATGTACCGCTTGAAATAGTATTACGTGGTCTTCCTGCTGAATGGAAATATGCCGGTTGGGGAACAATTCATCGAATCCAAGGACAGACTATCGAGCCTCCAAAACGTTGTTTCATTGTGGACCATAGCCTGGAAGGTTGGATTAACAATGCCGTATATACAGCCTGCAGTCGAGTACGATACATGAATCAAATGATCCGAGTTAAACCACCAGACGGCGTCCTTGAATATATTGAGCCTACTGAACTTCAAGCAACTCCTTGTCCCCAAATTATTGAGGCAAAATTGAGGCGTTATAGGCTGGATGACCGAAAAAAGAAGCGTCACTTCCCGAGACCGCTTATGATAGTTGAGGATTGGGAGGTAGATGATAAAACTGGTTTGGTTAAAGACCCTACAATATGTGAGAACTCACTCTATCTAGCAGAAAATGATGAGGAGAAGGCTACTCCATCGATTACACCAGAAGAGATAATTTCCATGGCGTATCAGCAGAAGAAAGCTTGTAAGGTATGTTGTGTTCCACTCTTATTCCAAGGTTATCCCAAGCGACATCCACAATCATTTTCGATTGATCGGATAGATGATGCTGAGGGACATTATCTTCAGAATGTAAGACTTACCTGCCTCCGGTGTAATGAAAGGCATCGACGTTAAGAAAGTTGAAAAAAGAAATTGCTATGGCGTCTCACATATCTAGCTCACCCGCATAAGCTAGACTAGTGAACGGAACATATATGCAAGCCGGAGGAGGCGGATCACAGTACTCACATAAATATTGGATTTTTTTTTCTGGTGCGATAAATATTCAGTTATAGAAAATACCACTAGGTAGGCCATCTCCCGCAGATTGACAGATCAAGGAAGTTTTTTTTCGATTAATTTAATAGCAATTTGCACAATATGGAAAGTTTAGATGATATTATAGAAGATGTGAATAAAAATATTAAAAAAGTATTTTTAGCAGGGGTTGCGCCTGAATTCCGACAAGAAGCCTATATAATTGGTCTTAAATTGACATTGGATAGATTGGCACGAGAGGTAGAGTTTGCGCAAAAAGATGATTGTTCTTCTAAGCCAGCCAGTCCGGAGCAGTGATCGCATAATTTTATTTTTTGTTAAAGATAATGGCATATAATATGGACTATTCATGATACAATCAAGCATTTTTAATATACCGGAACTATTAGAACAGGTTTTACATTTCTTAGCGATAGATAAATCTCTCTATCCTGCCCTATTTGTTTGCCAGCATTGGTACAGATGCGGTGCTCCTATTCTATGGGAACGCATCGAGCTAAAGGGAAACGAAGCAGAGGGTAAATCTCGATTGGGAAGATTTTTAAAAATAGTACATGGGGGAGGACAAAAACCAGTTTATAGCTCGAAATTAACTCATCTTAAAATATCATATTACCACTCAATTTCAAATAAAAAAATCAAAGGCATTGTACACACATTCCCAAATATAATTCATTTAGACTTTGAAAAAAGTATAGATCCTACTGGTGAAGCTCTAAAGCTAATGGCGAAATCATACCCAAATTTGAAGTATCTCAATATATCCGCTTTATACAATAGATTTAGACCAAAAAATGATATAGATCTAACTGCAATCGCAAATTCATGCAACAAACTAGAATATCTAAATATTTCTAATCGCACAGAGTTTTCTGAAATATCAATTTGTAATGTTATTCGTTCTTGCCCAAGGCTCCAGCATCTTGACCAACGTTGCTAATAACCGAATTTTAGCTCGGCGCCTTCAAAGACTTTTAGATCTAAATTTGCGGTTGTATTCCGATCCATGGTTGACTAGATCAACAGTCCGGAGTGGGCCGAGATGCGCGGAGCATGA